CAACACTCTGTCCCCTAATTCAATTGTTGCACGGTGACTGACATGCACCATAAGTGTAATACGGCCCCATTCTGTGGGTCGCAGGGTATTTTCTTGTCATTACTCACCACCACTCACTCCCTACACAGACAGTCGCTTCAGGTGTTTCTGTTCACCCCCGGCTCCTTCCAGCATTTATTATGTCTGTGCACCTAAGGAGAGATGACTGGAACCTGAAAGAAAAACTACTTCTCTCAGACTTCTGTTTCAAATATGCCATTCTGCCCAACGAGCAGAAAGGTGAGACTCAGGGAAATATAACCTTTTGGCCTGAAGTCACAAACTGCTTCACTTGTCCTTCGGTGAGATTAGTGTTCATTTCTGAGGAGAGCTGGGGAGAAGGGATCACGAGGGGAAGGCCAAAGGCTCTGCAGAGCATACAATAAGGCTTAGTCATCAAAGGACATAGAAAAAAATCCTTAATTTTAGGAAAAGCTGTGCAATTCAATCAACTTGACAGAATATGCAAACAAAAATGTAGAATCGAGAACATCTTTGCAAAGCAAAAACCTCGGCAGAACAGTTTAAAAGAACGTTTAGAACGTTTCTTTGCCCTTCTTCCATCAAAAAAAACCCTGTGTATTTCTAAGCAAACAGCCACAGATTAAAGTGGTGCGTTCATAAAAATATCTATTATAGCTGTTTCCTTTCTGACGCTCTGCCTGAGCATTCCCACGAGAGAGAAAGTTTCCCATGGTCCCTGGCCCCTGCAGCCATATTCAGCAGGCTAATACCCTCTGAATTTGACACATTTCCAACACGCAGGGACAGGTGTCTTCAAAAGCTGGCAAAGCCCCACAGATCAGGGCACTCCCGCCTCTCTTCTGCGGGCTCCACACGCAGAAAAAAACGGGAAAATTACATGGTTTTACAAAACCAAGGAAGCCAAAACACACGTACATGCACACACACACACACACAGTGAGCAGCAGCAGTATTAAAATCCTGAGTAATTACATGCCTGAATTGCATCTTTGAGCAGAAATGTTACATAAACACAGTGAAAACCATCCGAGCTGTACGGCTCTAAACTGGACTGAGGATCAGAACCAAAATGACTTTATCGAAATCCAAAACACCAGGAATTAAAGGCAAGTGAGGGTGAAACTGAAACAAACGGCGGAGCGTTTTCCATCGTATTTTAACTACATGAAATACATTCCTGTGGATGTGATACTGAACACCAATCAGATATGAAAGCTTCCACTGGACGATAAGGTAAAATATGTTTGTGTCTCGCTTGTCAACATGGAAACAGGTAACACATAACGGGCATAAAGTTCTCACAGTACCTGAGCCATGATCAACATGATTTTTTTTTTTTGTTTTTACATTTTGTTGCATGTTTTATTGGGAATTTTAGGACAATACTGAAAGTTCTACTGTACTGTTCTACTGTATAAGCTATCTCAGCAAGATTGGTCGGAGGGTATCGGAGATCAGCAATTTTTCAGACTTTCTAATCAGTTCACAAATTCACAACTGGATTTTGATCTGCACTTTGACTAGGCCATACCAATACATAAACATATTTGGGATGGTGAAACTCCGCCCCTGTGTCAAGTCTTGCGCTCCCTCTAACATGTTTTCTTCCAGGACTGCTCTGCATTTACCTCTATCCACCTCCTCATGAACTTTGAGCAGCATTTCTGGGATTGCTGATGTAAAAAAACGTGCCATGTTTCATAGTGTGAATGGTGTGTTCAGGGGTATCGTTCAACTTTTTGCAGAGTCTTCTACATGGCCGAAGCAAATGGCTGATTGGTCTTCTTATGGCTTTCTTTTTGCCACTCTTCAACAAATGCCCGATTGATGGAGGGGCATTACTAATCGTTTTCCAATCGACAGACTCTCCCATCTGACCCGTAAGTCACCTTCAAAGTTACCACGGGCCTCTGGGCTGCTTGTCTGATTAATGCTCTCCTGGTCCTGCTCACCCATTATCTTGCTGGATTTGAAGCAGTCCAAGCAACACCGTGTGCTCCAAGAGATACTCAACAATTGAGAAATTGTTTTATAGCGTAATTATGCTTTGTTACAATTTTAATAGCGTACATCTTAGCTTGTGATTGTAACGCAGTGAAGGGGTTAAAAATGCTTATTTTGCAAGGAGCTGAGCTTTGAGCTAGATTTCTGAGCTTGATTGCTTGGACGGCAGCCATAGCGTAGCATTCTCGCTTCTGATAATTGCTTTAAATACAGATTAGTGCAACGACCAGAGCTACTGGCACAGTAAGCTCATTATTTAATGCTGACTAGGGAACTAAGAAAGTGTTACAAATTTACAAGATTCCCCTTAGCTCATAAGAAAAGAGCTTGACATCTTACATGCATTCTTGTTCTCTGCAGTCAGTCTGGGAACATTTGAGCACCTGAAAAAGCTGTTTGTCCATTTAAAACGGTCAATAAAACAGGAAAACAATCTGCAGCATTATGTCAGACGTTTTGCGCGCCTGTGGGTAATCAGGTCAGGTTTCTAATCATGTGTGACACGGAAAGCAGAGAAGAGCGAGCAAGCCGAGCGCAAGACTGAGGCGCAGCTTTCACTGTGGGACAAATATGACATTTTTTGACAACCGCTAACAGGCATGAAATATGAGCATACACTCACCACCCGCCTAAACGCAGTCTGATCTCCTCATTACACCGGGAGAGTATGTCAGATCAGAAGGCAGCGCAGATCACACACTTTCAGTGAGCCTTTGTGCACAGAGGCCATGTGAAACTTTCACCCTGTCTTCACTTTTAGCAGAGACGAGTCTTAATGAAACATGGAGCATGCTGGGAGCTCGACTGAAGCGATCCAATCTAATGGCGCTTTGGTGCAGGACGCCATAAATTAGTCCTGTTATCTGGAGATTTATTGCAACACCCTGAGGCTTGGGATTAAACAGTCGAAACAAATCGGACTTCTCGTGTCAAATAAAGTCAACTTGTTCTTTAAACTGTGCTATATTTAACATCACCTGCAACACCTTGTTTAAGATCCCAGGCAGCAAATTTATGTTTCAGAACAAGATGAGTTTACTGTCATTTACTTATAAATCTGACACCAGCGGCTTTTTTTTGGCAGCGCTGACGTTTTCTAGGAACAAACCCAAGACCTACAATTGTTCCTGAGCTGATCCAGTCACGGACTTGACCAGAGGTTTCTTAGCGAAGTGCTACAGACAGTCAGTAACAGGTATAAAGAAATGCCCACAGAATGATCCTGCCACTACCATACTCAGTTGTTGTTGGCATGCATGGCTGCAGAATATATTGAAAATCAAACATTACCACAGTGTCACTGTGCCCAATTTTAATACAACAAAAGGCAGCTCGGAAAGCAGTGAACATTTTAGTTAATTATCTAGCCAGAATTATCTGGCTTCATGCCAGTTTTACATCTTAATAGGAAACTTAATTCCTGAGCAATTTAGAAATTTCCCTACAAAAACAGCAGCTGTAGCCTGATTCCGGTTTTTCAACAAAACCACGCTGCCATGATAGAAATTTCCACAATGTCAACCATCTGTGGTTAATGTTTCAACTTAACCCAAAGCAGAAAGACATCAAAGTTGTAATTTACCTTATTTTATCAATAAAACCTTCAGAAACACAACAGGATATCACATTTTCCTGATATCATGCAGTCGCACTGTGATGTGTGGCTTGTGGATCTAAAGTTATCTGAATAAGGAAACTGTAATTACATTCACAGTGATAATTTGCTTCAAGGTAACCAGTTCGAATGGAGTTTTCATCTGTTCCAAGAGTCGGCAACCATTTTTGCCCTCACTCACGTCAAATAACATTAGAGCCACAAAACCTTCTCACTCCACCCAAAAAAGACAGTTTATGAATTTCTATGACAGTCTGTAAAAGCAGTCAACAGAAGAACATGCCATAGGACAATGGAAAGTTTTATATATATGGAAAATAAAATAAAAAAACAGCTTGTACTTTGCATCATATTGATAAATAAAAAGAACTGAACAAAAAAATGATCTGATGCTGCTGAAGTATTGTTCTGTTGTGGAAATACTAAGCATGCATTGCAGGAAAGCGTATAAAATCTACTAAAACTGTCTGTTTTATTATTTGTATGTTTGAAAACATTGTCGTCTTCCATCATATTCCAACAGCTATTAAGAATCCCCTAATACAGAGGACCAGAAGAGACACGAAGAGGCAGGTTGTAGATTCCTGCTCTACTCAGTCAAATGTTCTACATTTGCTCACTTCCAGTTCTTCACTTTCCAAATGCCGCCCTGTTCCGCATCTGTCCCTCTGCCTGACCCCGATCCCGATTTCCCCCTCTGCAACACGACTATGGGCTGTGAAACCGTACACAGCAGAGACCCCCGATGCAACTTTTCCTGATCGTGTCCTCCTCACTTACAGATAAGCAGAGTTCAGAGTTTGAAGGAAGCCATGGAAACCGATCAAAGCGGGACGACGAACTGTACGATTCTGACATCTTTCTCGACGAGACGCATTGTGGAGATGTCTTACTGTGCAACGATCGGTATTGGAAAGTTCAAGTGAATGACACAAGATGTATCATGTTGCAGTCAGGTGGGTGACAGACACCGTGTCCTCTGCAGCAGAAGCAGCAGCAGTGCAGTATTCCTGTTCATTTATTTGCTGACATCCATGCAACACAAACACGAGTGAGTTTCTCAACAACCTATATAACCTGTGTAGTTTTTATTCAGAAGGAAAACATCTGCAGCCTTTCTGAGACGTACATAGTCGTTGGCTCGTTTCTTGCACCAGACTGCTCTCTCTCTCTCTCTCTCTCTCTCTCTCTCTCTCTCTCTCTCTCTCATCGCTTTGTGTTATTGTTCTGACATTTCACCCACAATCACGACTTCTGCTCTGATGATCTCAAAGAAGTCATAAGATGCATGTTGCTGCGTTCATAATCATCCGCAAGAAACAAACTACGTGTTGCATTTCAGCTGTGATTACCTGTTCTCTCCTTTTGCATTCGAGGGTGGAGGCTGCAGGATTGTTTGGTTGTCCTCCATGTCCACCACACATTTTGTATTCAGCTCAATCTCTGCAGAAAGAGAGAAGTTTTTTTTTTCTTTCTTTCTTTTGTGGGGGGGAAAAATAAGGGAGAATGTGGGGGTGTGAAAAGTCAGAGAATCTGATCTGCTTTCGCTGTGTTGAAAGTACACTCGGGCATGACTTCAGGGTTATAACTCAAGAGAATGGTGAGGAAAGCAAAAGTTTAAGATCAAGCGAGAACGAGAGAGGAGTTTGCGAGCGGAAATCGTCGTTTTGAACACTTACCCCTGCGGTTCATGGGTCGTACTCTCACAGCAACTTTTACCTTTGTATCCGACATTTTCGTCCCCTTTTTTTTTTTTTTTTTTACTCCCACCCTGTCTGGTCTGTCTGTGCGCCGAGCTATAAATGTATATAGTCTGTAAATCCCCCGACAAGCAGTCTCGGATTTCTGCCAGACTAAAACCGCTTTCAGCAGACGCTGTTCATCAAAAAAAGCCCCCAAGGAGTCCAGATTTTGAGGAAAATAGATCCGGACAAGTTCATTTTTTCTTCCTTTAAATCCATCCGGGTTCTCCTCTTGTGCGGATCGAGCCCTCTGCTCCGGCCCCAGACAGCATCCCTAACACCGCCATCTTCCACCGGGAGCTCGACTGCTCTCCTCTGGCAGGGCTGGAGAGGCTGTGCCAAAGGAGGGGAAAGGATTTACGCACCGCGCCGCTCCTCAACAGGGAGGAGAAAAAGCAGCGGCGGAGAAATGGCAAACTGCATAATGACAAGTGATAGACACGCAACAAACGTAAGCGTCGTAATGAGCAAAAGCGGGGCATACATTAAGGCATACTTTAAAGAAGTTAAACTGGTTTATGAAGCAAAACTATCTCCAAAGCACACCAAAATGAAATTTCTGATAGCACGTTAATAATTTACTTAAACTCGGTCAAATTATTAAGATTATAATTTATTATCAGATGCGTTTTGTTTTGTATTTTGATCTTTCCCATGAAGTACTCTTTCATGGGAAAAAGACAGACTTTCACATTTAAAAGTCTGTTGATGTTATTGAGTTTTCTCAGCAAAAACCAGTGAAGAAACAAGGCAAGTAATTATTAGACACTTTAATATAAATAAATAAATAAATAAATAAATAAATAAATAAATAAATAAATAGTAGTTTTTGCTTTTGTCCACACAAACAACAAAACTTTGATTTTTTTTCTTCATATCAAGAATGAAACTCCATGAAGTCACATACAGTGGGGATTATTGAGCACAGTGCAATAAAAACAGTTAAATACGTATTTGTTTTCATCCAGACTCGACAAAAGCTTTATGGTTTTTTTTAAATATATCCGAAAACGTTCATATATTGTAACGCCATTGATTTGTTCTGAAGAAACAGCGCCTCCTACCGACACAAAAGTCGCAGTGAAATATGACAAAAAGGGGCAATTCTTGTCACTTCGGTATTGATAGTGATCTTATCAGCATTAAAAATAGAGAAGAAGAAAAGAAAACAAATCAAAATTGAATTTCTACTCATCCGGATTTGACCACAAGAAGGTAAAACAGGCTCATTTTTCAGTTTTTATGTTTTTACTCTTTTGTATTTTTAAAATAAAGATGCAAAAACAGATCATGTTTTTCTTCTTTTTCCATTACTGCTTTATTATGAAACTATCAAATTAACAAAACTTACACAGACCCTCCTCAGTGAACACAAAAAAATGGGATGATATTATGAAATTGCTACACAATCAGCATCTCAGTTCCTTTTCTATTACTTTTAAACATTGCGAGCCAATTTTGAATGTGAAGTTTTGTAACTTTTGTTCTTTCTGGACTTTTGTGGCAGGAGGGTTGTTTTCTTTTCTACTTTTGTGTTCACTGTTATTGTTGTTGCTTTACGCATCATGATCGCTTATTTTCCTCCGTTTTTTCAGTGGTGTAACACTCAGCAATAAGACTCGGCTGGTTTCAGAAGTCGTCTCAGTATTTATTGGTCATTGTTGGATCAACCTGTCTTGAAGATTTTGCTCGTTCCCCCATGAGCCACCTCCAGTTTCATCTTTTATTTTGCCATTAAGTATTAGTAATGCACCAGAAGTTGATGGGTAGATGAAGAAACACATATGGAAGGCCTGAGGTGGAGGTTCACTTTACAGCAGGGAAATTTACTTAAACAGAACTGCTTCTTAGCTGTTCAGAGTAAGGGAAAACTTTAGAAAACAACAAGTCACAACCTTTTAGGGTTCCTTAATTCCCCTGCTCATAGCGTACACCCAGCAGGTAATAAGTATCCTTTAAACAGACAAGTTAATTTGCAGAAATATTTAAAAGTAGAAAGCATGAAAACAGTGAAATACTTCAAACAAACTTTATTCTGTTTTTCCAATACCCCGTCTTGGTTCCTTATTACGTAATGACCATGTTGCGTCAAGCTCCGGGTTTACTAGAATAAATCTTCACCGTATGGTCGCCACCGTCCACTGTGATGAGCGTGTTGCTCAGTATTACCAACCCAGCAGGTCGAATGAGACGGTCCCCGACAAGAGGAGTCAGGACTGGATGGTTCTGAAGGTTTCCTAAACTACAAATCAACCCCTGATCGCAGTCAGACACAACCACATCTCCATCACTGCCGAAAGCCACATCTGATATGTTGAACCTAAAGGACGACTGGAGGATCAGGCTGAAGCTGTCCATCTGGTAAAGAAGGTGGAAGTCTTTCGTAAACACCTTCAAATTTGTGTTGTGGTGCCTTCCTCTTGGATGCTCCAACACTGCTGTGTTTCCAGTTTTCTGGCAGTGAGCCACCGCTTTGGGACACTGAAGGTTGGCTAGGACTCTTTGATTGTCCAGGATAACGCCATGACTAAAGTTCACTTTTATTCTGAGCAGATTGCCAGCCTGGAGGTCAGAAACCAGGATGTGCCCACTACAGTCTGTGTCCACGCCCCAAGGAAGTTGGAAGCAATCTTTGACCGTCACTACGTGTACTCCCCTGGATGTGAAAACCTTCACAGATTTATCCCCTGCATCTGTCACTACGACATAACCAGTAGGACTCACTGCCACATCCACCGGGTAACAGATGTCCCCATTGCCTGTTCCTTTCTCTCCAAAACTGTGCATCTTCCTCCCTTGTTGGTTAAACACCACCACTCTCTTCTCTCCATCATGCACCACGACTACTCCCCCCGCAGACCCCAAAACGGCGATTCCAGTGGGGTTGATGAGAGTCCCCCAGCCCCCAAACGCAGCAAGAAAATGCAGAGCTGTGTCCGAGGCAAATCCTCCTCTGGCCCTGTGAGGGGGAGCGGAGGACGAGGGTTTCTGGGACAAAAGGAGCTCCTGCAGGTCACTGAGAACCTGGCAATGGGAGGTGCTGTCAACACTGCACAGCTGTCGACAGAACGGGCACTCCAGCTTCCTCAGGAGAGGGTGGGACAAAGCTGTGATGCATTCCAGACAGAGTACATGACCACAGGAAAGGTTCTGTGGTCTGCGCTCCCTCTGTTGCGAGTTAAACGTCTCGAAGCAGACTTTACACTCCAGTAAGTTGAGCTGGATTTCCCTCAGGGTCGCCTCTGGACTCAGGCAGCAGCGATGTGGGAGATCAGGACTCTGGGCCATGATGACTGAAATACACCGATGTCCTGGTGAGGCAGCTCGGCTGACTGGTGCAGGGTGGATAAGGTTCACGAAACCAAGCTGAAAATCTCAGAGTCTGAGGCGACACGATGAAGAAAGACGGAGAGAACAAAACGGACTGGAGAAGCTCTGTGTTTACATGTCCTCTGCTTGGAGGCCTCAGTTACCACGTGATGTTTTAAATCTAGCTGAGGCTCTCTGGCGCCCTCTTTTGGAAATAACAGTTCATAAGGTGAATTTTGTACATTTACTACTGCTATTTGCACAAGTTTGTTGCTGAACACTAGTGGGCAAAAAGCATAATGAAATTAAAGAAATCTGAAAAGGTTAAGGGAAGAGAGTGGCAACAGGAAATCCATAGAGGTTCTGTTTAAAGTAGTTTGGCACTGGCAAGTTTAATGACACAGACATGTGGAAAATAGTGGTCTGATCAGAAAAGACCAAAATTGATTTTTGTTATCCTCCATGCAAAATGGTATGTGTTGCATAAATACATCACTACACACCACCCTGTACACAGAGTTGTGGCAGCATCATGCTGTGAGGATTAAGAAAAAAACTACAATAGGATGACTTGTTTAAGCATGTCGATGTGCTGGGATGGTCCAGTCAAAGTCCAGACCAAAACACAAAAGAAAATTGATGCTTGCAGATGCCATTTAGCAAAACAAACTGAAGTTGAAATTATGCAAAGGGAGTTTTTACAAAGTTTAGCCTCAGGGTATGCTGAACATTTCAAATTACTTGTATATTTATGCTTTCATTTGTTTTCATGTGCCTTAAAACCAAAACTATATACTAAAATGTGTGGTTGTAGGATAAAATAAAATGTGAAAGTCAACACGTAGGACATATGTTCTAAGGTCGTGTAGATCTGGTATGGTTCAGCGTTAGGAAGCTATTTCTGTACGACTTTCATGATGTGCAGCCCGAATGAAATCCGACTCCAGACGGGCAGCGCTGAAGTCAGCAGGTCGAGGAGCACTTACATCCTGCCGAGGTGTCCTTCAGAGCCTGAATAAGATTATTCAATTTCAACGAGTGTTAAGTAAAAAAAAAAAAAAAAAGAAAAATCAGCCTTAAAGATGACTGTAGCATATTTCTAATTCTTAATTTAAAACCTAAGGATGATTGTTAAAAAAAAAAAAAACACACCAGAGATTTGAAAATAGAGGAAATGTAAAACATTTTAATATGTAGATTTTTTTTTCACAGTGAAACAAATAGTACAGGTCATCTTCAACAGTAATGTTTTTTGGCAAAATGAAATGTATATCCAGAGACAACGTACCATTTACAAAGCCTAATGTTGCCCGGGCGACCGTTCCACCGAGGCCAGCATTCGGATTGTCGAGGATACGCGAAATATCTCAGTGCTGAGATGATACTGATAGAGCAAAATGACAACAAAGCGCCGACGAAGCTCTCCAGGTGAGAGTATCCAATAAGAGAGAGCTTAGCCTAAATACAGACCGAGAAGCGTTAGGAATAAGAAATAATTCCATGCAAACAGGCACAAGGCGTGAATAAAAATGTTAAAGACAGTAAAAGACAATACTTGTGTTCAGGTTTAGATAATATAAAGACTTTTCTTTTTTTCCTACTGTTGTAACATTATCCTATTAAAACACTTGATTTGACAGTCATGCAAAAAAAAAAAAAATGAACAGAACGAGAAGGTTGGCGGGAAAAGAAAACCACCTGCACACCGACATGCAAGAGTCTGAATAATTGCCCTTCAAACGTAGAAAAATTTAAAATAACGTAGCAGCCACAGGCGGAGAGGGGAAAGCAAAGTCACCCTGGATCACAATAGTTCACATAATACTAGAACATTACGAAATGTACAGTATTTTCAGGGAAAATCTCCTGCAAAGTGCTTTAACTGTGTGCTTCTTTACAAAATGAACCTCAGCTGATCACGCTAACAAGCCAAAGCTGTCTGGCATGGAAATTCTGCCCACATTCAAGTATTAAAAAAAAAAAGAGAGAGAACAATGCAAACATTTAGGAAGTAAACAGATAATCAGTGAAGAATGCAAGTATAAAAAAAAAGACAAAAAAAAAAACAGGCTTCAAATAAAGTGATCAAATCTTTAAAATGGCTTTTAAC